TGACAGGGGAATGAGGGTGAGTCATTCAGAAGGAGATTCCTTCCGTGAGGCAATTCGCTCACATCATTGTACGCGCACACACATATTACTAACACATACTAACCCATAAATCTAAAAGGCCCATATTGAATTATCCAAATATAAGATCTGATATCTAACGTGCAATAACTGGTACATTTATTTCTCTTTTTTCTGTTGATGTTCTGTGATAGCTCAAGAGGCAGTGGCTAATTGTATATATGGGTCTTTTTCTTCTTTTTTTACTGATGGCCATTACTGAGAAAAAGGAGGAGAAAGAAGAAATATTAATCAGACACGATTCAGCACACAGCCAGGGAAATAATACTGTGTTTCCCCTTTTTCTAGCTGATTACAGCAGCCGATGCCATCACTTTTTGTAATTCCCTAAACCTTTTCCCACTCAGCTCTCCCTTGCCAGCACAGTCTCTCATACGTCCCAAACTTTAAATAAACATCAAATTAGGCCAAGATAAAACAAGCTGTCAGCCCGCGTTAATGGAACAGATATTTTTTTCATCGCGTACCCCCTGGGTGGTAAAGATAGCAAACGATGTCATGCGGAACGGTGTGGTAGAAGGTGTGCGTTATGTGGAACTGGTCAGTGGCATCGTGTTTTTTTCTGGGCAATAACAGGTCAGGAAGGAGCAACTCGACACTCTGCGAAGGAAAATTCACCATGACCCAGCTGTCACATGACCTGCCACTTTGTGAGGAAACTGTTTAGGTCATGACTAGAGCTTATAGCAAAGCCACAATTGGGCCCCCGGTCTCAGCCCAACATCTCCCAGGAGAAATTTGCCTGCCCTGCCCTGTAGGCATCTCCAGCTCCAATTACCCTGGCCAACGTGCCACAGAACTGTGTCACTCTGAATTATATATGGCCTTTGTTCATCCTTAACCCAAGAGCACTGGAGACAGCAGTGGATCATGTTAACACTCATCCTTCCATTGAAACATTTATCATTCTGATTGGTGGCTACAAAAATGTTGACTTAAACACATCTGCAGAATTTGTGTGCGATTGCAGTATTTTCAAGATAAAACCATATAAATGAATATGGCAGCTAGCTTTGGCTCTGGGGTCATTTAATTTGTTACCAATATTGCCAAAACGAAACAAAAAGCAGCATTGTGATATGATATGTGAGGGTTTGTATTGTTTCTTTTTTCCATCTAAAAACAACCTGAAATATGAAAGCATCCTACTATCACTCATCAGTCCGATCTTCAGTAATCAAAGTAAAGCAAAGAGAAAAACCCTGATGCATTGTGAACTCAAAATCATGGGGGAAATCAGGAGGTGAAAAATGAAATGGGAATGGGATTTACAGCATGGGCTCCATAGCTGCTACATTATGCATTCACTGTGGGAAGAGAGTATAAATATCTTGGGAGGGCCTTTCAAATTGCAGTAAATGTGTTATTTAAACGTTTTGTTAGGAGAAATTCTCCTTTTTGCCCTGTTTTAAAACCAAATACTCTCAAACTGCATTCAATATATTTGGGTAGTGGAATGGACCATTTTTGGTCCATTAGGAAGATAAATTTCAATCAAACTTCAAAAGAGGAAAATTTATTACAAAGAGACATATGTTATTTTGCCATGGTGAATGTTTTGGAGGTAATCTCAACTTCAAAAAGAATAAACACTTGTTAACTGAGCTCCAGGTCCACTCCGACTTGCTCAGCTTTATTTTCTTAGTGCATTTTGAAAGAGGGATTTAAATCAAATCCCCAATGCCAAAGCAAGACAGATTGTGTAGCGCCATAATGCTTTAGTTTTCCTGCAGTTTCACAGATGGTACCACCAATGAAAGGCTTGCAAACTCCTCATCTGTTTTATTGCTGTATTGGAAATTGGAAAGAAAGAGTGACTCCAGGAATCATCCTTTACCACAAAAATGTGAACTAACGATGAGAAAATATTAATTGAACTATCACACATCTTACAACAGAAGATGAATAAATTACAAAAAAAATGTCTAAGAATAAAGTTTTCCGTTGAATATTTGGCAATGACTTTTTGCCTAATGATGACATAGTAAACATCCACATTTGTGTTGATTTATGCTCTCAGAAGTGGACAATGTTAATTTAACTTAAGGTACCTCATTAAGAGAAAAGCATAATTGAAATCATTACATTTTCTAGTCTTAAAGCTATTTGAACAGTGGGTGGAATGCAAAAACATATCTATGACAGGTTACATGGAGAGAAGTGGCAGGCATGACTCAATTAGAGACGGTCAAGAAAAAAATTATTCTGGAAGAAATCGAAATGCATACGATGGTTTATGTTTAACCCACATAAGGAGGAATTTTTGTTTTAAAAGGTCTTGTTGATAATGTTAGATTGGAATTCCCCCATTATTGAACCACTCTTAACAGTGGAAATTTTGCAAGAATATGTGCCTTTTTTATGCAGAGTTAGCACACTTTTCTATGTGTTGCACAGTGTCATATTTGATTATTATTATTATCTTAAATGAGCTTTTTGATCGTATACATCTCTTAAAACAGCCATGCTAATGATGGCTGTCACAGATTATATATTTTTGGGCAGCTTATTGAGTCAAGCTCATTCCCTAATGACCGTCCATCTGTTATTGTGTAACCACCTCTAATACAAAATTCCAAAGAACAGGTCATTGCATTTTTCTGCCATTGAGAGCTCAGTCATTAAGTTAATTAGGTATGGCAGTAAGATGGCTGCATGTGTTCAACCGACTATATTTGCTAATCTATCTCATCATAAAATATTCTGCAATATCTTGCATACCGTTGTTAATGATTTGGGAAAATACTTGACCAACATAATATTGCACATATTTAAAATTCATTCCCTGGTGAATTGCTTGCATGCTTGAAATGGATCATATTTAGGATGCCATTATGTTATATATGAGCAATGAATAGCTCGTTATGTTATTTTTAAAATATAATTATTGATCACTTTTGGAGTTAAATGTTGCTGGGGTTTTCCCCTTCCATTAACCTCCCATCTTTGAGTATTACTGCCATTTAAAAGAAAAGCTCCAGAAAGAAAGTAATAAAATGACACAAAAAGTAGGCCACTGCAATTATTCCTTAAAAAAAAAGTATGGTTCTGTGTGTCTTGTCCAAGCTGGCAGATTCATCTCAGGGGCCATAAAGTCTGAACACATGGATGGGGTAGTAGCAGACACATGTGAGTTGAGATGGGCATTTGTAACCCAATTTGTGTGTGTATACTCTGAGGACACTTGGCAGCTATTCGAGCAGTTTGGCCAGGCCTTTGGCTTCTTTTTCTTGTTGATGGCTGCCTTGCCAGCACTGCTAATGCAATTCATTATAAACTGGAGTGGACAACACTTAGAATCTGTGATTAATGCATTTGCTTAGGGAACTGAAAATTTGTGCCAGTTTATCAGCACTGCTGCTGCACAGACCTTACCCTGTCTGCTTTTGGGGTGGATAACAAAAGATGTGAGAGGAAAGCGAGGGGCAGAATCGATCTTACAGAACACCATGGCCTGAATTTATGGGAGTTCACTTTTTTGAGTGGTCAGCAGTTTAAAGCAGCCGGGATGTGAGCAAGAAATGGAAACTTAAATAGGCCAGATCGCATTTTGCAGTCGTGCAAGATCTGATCTGAACTTGCAGACAAAAATATATTTTCCAAGTGTCCTTAGCATGGCATTTTGGCATACTGTGGTTATTCAAATGCAGAGGTTTTAATGTCAAACCTTTACAAAAGGGCAAGATAGGTCCTCAGTCTTGACTATTTTTCAATTTCATGCTGAAAAAATACATCCTTTTCCAGCGTGTAAAAAATGCACACAAACACCTTAAGTTAAATAATCCAGGTCACTGGCAATTAAGCTGCAGACGAAACCAACTCTGCACAAATGGGTCAACATTCACACTCAATTTCATTTCCAAATGGTAACAGAAGTGACTTCTCATTTTTACACAACACCAAGTACCTGAAAAGTCTTTTCGCCTTTCTTTTTTTCAAATATCCATGCAGAAAGAAACATTCTGTTCTAAAAATGATTACAGCATATGTTGTAAGTCATGTGTGACTGAACTGTCTCAGTTTTTCTTCTTTGCTCTTGCAGCCCAGACTACACTATGAGATTAGTTATGAGATAACCGCTTTATGCATACTCTGTGGACATAAAGAGTAATTGTCTTTATCATCACACAGAGCACAATATTAATGAGTCCATATGAACAAAATACTATCACATGTGCAAAACATATTCATCGAGGGGATAAATGCAAATTGACAAGTGTTTTAGACATTCTACATGTTCTCTTTCTATGAACAGAATTAAAAAGGGCCCGGATCTTTTAATCTCTCTCTTTTAAAATCTACTGAATTTCTTGCAGTCCCGTTTAAAAGCAAATGGATCCAACAGATTTTACCCACAGAGTAATTGACATTGCTAAGGGAACATGGTGACTCCCCTCTCTGTTCTGTTGTCTCTCAAAAGAGCATTCACACATAGAGAGAGCTGTGCAGAACCACCAAAATATCCATTATGTAACTCAAGCCTACTGGCTAGATCACAGTCAAAGATGTAGTCCACGAGCTTAAAAATCCACAAGGATAAAGCAATCACCTCATGAATAGAAGAACTGTTTGGATTCTAACTGCCGCAGAAAAAAAGGTCATGGCACGGGTATGGTGCTCTGTCTACCGACTGGCAAACCACAAAGAAATGGAAACCATTGACAGTCTGACAGTTATCCAGTTATCAATAACCGGTTTATAAGCACATTTAAATCATCGTGATTTTTGTTGATTACTTTATTTATGTTTGGATTCATTTTACATGTTGTGCATGAGTGATTTTTGGAATTGGTATCTTGTGAAAGTGAATCACTTTATAAGTAAAAGCTTGCTTGTTATTTTCAAACAAGTAGTATTGTCCATGTAACACACTCAGTCTCACATATTATGGGCTGTGGGGGTGGAGAAAGAAAGAGATAAAATTAGAACAAGGCAGAAAGAGGGGTTTCCTCTCCTACGGGGAAAACGCAAACAGAGCGGAGATGTATTATGGCAATGGATCAGCCATTTTACTACTGAATGTTGTTTCAAGATTTGCTTTATTTGGGTCGGGCGCAGAAAAGGAAATAGCTGAAATCCAATTGACTTACCATTTGGAAGCTTGTGGCTGTTTTCCATCAGCCATTCAAATAAGCTTGCAAAGTTGCAGTTGCACACCCAGGGGTTGCCCTCCAGTCTCACCACCCGTAGGGAGGGCAACTGACTCAGTGCCCCCACCTTTAAAGTAGACAGTGCATTACGTTCCAGTTCAAGTTCTCGCAGAGAGGTGAGGCCCAGGAAAGCGTCCTCACTCACCATGCTTAGATATGGGTTGTTTCCAAGTCTTAGTTTAATCAAGCTGCGGGACTCCCCAAAAGTCCCCTTTGGGATTTCGGTTAAATTGTTGCTACCTAGGTCCAGGAAGACCAGCCTCGAGGAGGTGCTGAGGGTCCCGGGTTCGATGAGTGAGAGGGAATTGTTCCGGAGGTCCAAGTAAACCAAGTCACTGTACAGAACCAGGAAATCGGAGGGGATGCGGGGTATCCAGTTGTCAGCCAGCAAAAGCCTCCGAACATCCAAGGGGATCTCGTCGGGTAGGCGGGTCAACCCGCGGCCGCTGCAGTCCACAGTATGAGGATCTGGACACAGGCAGGTTCCTGGACAGTTCTCCCCCCGGGTCCATGAGACAGAGGACAGCAAGATGAGGATAGGTTGAAGCCAGCAAACACATGGGAACATGGTCAAGAGGGTGGAACAAATTAGGGGGGATAAGAGGCTTAGGTTAAGGACAAACAGAGGAAGCTGGGGAGGTTAAGGTAAGAGTCAGAGGGCAAGAGACTGGGACAAGGGAAGGGAGAGGATGAATGGAAGGGGTTGGAGAGGATCAATCCTCCTGAATGAGCATCCTGATATTTTGAAACAGGATATCTGGAACAGCTCAGGATTTGTTAGACAGCAGAGCAGAGGCAAGGACTGTTTTCAAGAGATCATGTGGCAAGTTGCTGAGGTAGAACAGCAGCCTGCCTGCTTTGAATGAGCTAAGAGAGGGAGATAGTGAGCAGTGAGAGACACAGAGTTGAACACAGAGGGGAGAGTAGCTTAGAAGAGGTAAACAGACATGAGTGAGCTGGGAGCAAAAAGACTTGAGGGAAACAGACAAGGGGGAGGGGGATTCAGGAAGACGCTGTGTCCGCCACGCTACCCCACAGTTGGTCTGGCGGCAGTGACAGACGAAGACAATGAGGGCTCTGAGACAAAAGGATATATGAGGCTTTGATTCAAGCATGACAAGCAGAGAGTAACATAGCTGCATTCCTCCATTAGTCCGAGGTCTCTGTGCAGAAAGAAAAGCCAGACGGTCTGAAAAAAAGGAGCGAGATGCTCACGGAGCATCGCTCAAGTGTGTAATGATGTTGCCCCCCCCCCCCCCCCCCCCTTCAATTTTCCTTGCCTATCTCCCAATGCCCTGCAACATGCTGTAAAAACACCACACAGTCTAGAGATCCTCTGTCCAGCACTGTTTCGAGGCTGCGTGAGCGAGAATCCAAACGTCCAGGCAGGAGCCTCGTAGATGCTGGTTCAGTGCTGAGCTGCACACTGCCATGCCAATCCAATGTCTGCCTCTGAATATACCACGGTTTATCTCATGCCCTCTCCCCTCTCCTTATTTCAAAGGGGGCGTGTCCGATCCTCGCTGTCAACACGTGATGTCACTTCCTATAGTGGGAAGAAATTATGATTGGTTGTATCTAAAATCGGAAATATGGAGGATTTAAAGTGTGCTGGTCCTTTGCATCGATGTAGTTTGAGCTCTGTGTAATTAATAACTGTGTCATACATGTATCGTTAAGTGAAAAAAGTACACCCTCTTCCAACTCAGATGTACCACGTACCATATAACAAAGAAATCTACTGGTCCTTTCAAGGTCTTAAAAATTCGATGAATTACAGCTTTGATGAGCAACAATATTCGTCATTATCAATTGATCCAAGGGGTAAAAAAATCAAACACTCTGAGTCACTTGCTTGTAGAACCTTTTAAACAGCAATAGCTTAAAAAAATATGCATCAAATTATCAGTCTTTCAAATTGTTGAGGAGACATCTTCTTTTCAACGTATTTTTAATCATATCCCATTCAGTTTTAGCTAACTTCATCTGTAGGGAATATGGCTCTATAATTGTTGGTATACAGAGGAGTTCATGGTCAACTCTTTCACAGTCCCAAGTATATTGGTATCTTATTATTCATCTGACAATAATCTAAACACCAGGTTGCTAAATATACTCTTAAATTATATTGTATAAGAGCAGCAATGGCCCTCCATCAGTATCTACTTTCCTTCACTCAACTGGCCCCAGCTTGGCTTGGGTCATTTTCCATTTCAAGTAAGGGGGTGACACTGAGATGGCTCAAAAGTCCTGTGACATTATTTGTATGCAACACAAGCGCTCACAGGACTGAAGGACATTGCAGCGATATACTGGCTGGACCTTGTCATTGGAACACTGTGTCGGCTCAAGTGCGTCCTTTCACAAAGTCTCCGATCACAGACACGATAAAATCGCACGTTTGTTATTGCCGCCTCGCTAAAATAGTTAATCTCGTGACTCATGCATTCATGTGACCACCTGGCCAGTGCTAGGTGTCTGCCCAACTCAGGTTACTTGGAACCCCAAGTAGGTGCTTAAATAGTAACTGATGAAAGAAACCAGAACATAAAGGCAATACGAGAAAGAATAGGGTTGGGTTAGGGTTGCACTGAGAAAAAAGTCTAGTGGGATAGGCTCATAGGAGCGCGTATGTTTTCAGACCCTGTTTTGGTTCATGTAAGGTTGCGTAGAGCCAATTCTAAAATCCGATTACAATTTGGGCAGTTTTTGTCCTGATGCAACATGAGCAACCGTTTGTTGTAGCAATTGGGACTTTGTCAAAAGCAACCAGTTCACCTCATCACAGATAATCCAATTATACTAGTCATTGCTTGGAGTATTCCCTGCAGTCAAATAAAAAAATTAGCTTGAAAATCAATGCAGACAGATTTGTCTTAAAGTTCTTTATATTCTTATCCCACAGCAACACAGAGTGACTTATAAATCACTCATAAAAATCTGGTCAGAAGCACATTCCACTGTTCCAGTACTTATATATTTGACTTAATAATTGATAATTAAGAATACACAGTACTGTTTAGTCATGGACCAAAACCAAGTAAATGGTGATTAACGGCCCAGGTTAGATTTGAAATCTAAAATTCCTTTGTAAAGTTGTAAGTAACTTACAAAATATCAACGGCAGTCTCGTAGATACACCAACAAATCATCCACTGAGTCAGGTAAAATAGCACACATCTTTACTGTAATCCGGTTTAGAAAAGGAGAATTAGGGTGATTTTCTCAGGTATTTGTTTCTGTAATGTATCTAAAAGCGAAACATAGTCGAATGGCTGATCCCCAGAGCCGACTACCATCTAAACAAAACAAAATTAATGACTGATAGCTTGATTTAACACGTCAGTCATAATTTATGCCAACAATAATGTATTTTGAATATGTAAATTATTTTCAATTGATTTTTTTCCAGTATGACATCACTGATAAAAGTGGTTGCCATACATTCTATGAGCTTCACATTAATTTTGTTCATATCCTGTTGCTATTGTAGATTGTGTGACTGATGCCTGCACCCATATTATGTTGTGATCCTTTTTTATTACATCATAACTGCAATAACACAAAAACTGTAATGGCTTGTTTGAAGGGGAAAACATTAATTCATGATTCTCTATCTGAAGGCTACATGTCTTTTCCACAATGGCAATATTGGTGTAATTTTTGTTTGTTATTTTGCCCAAGGACACACAACACTCTATAACACCATCAGAGAATATCTGTCAGCTGACTGATTGCAGTTGATAATGACAATGTATTTTGATACTCACTCCTGAAGCCAGATGATATGTGTCGAAAATATGTCAAAAATGGAGTTTTATTTGCTTGAACAGTGAAATGTTCTTTGAAAACATAAAAACATGAGCCGGCTCAAATGGAGTTCAACTACAGCACTGCCTCTGATTGATATAATAGCCATTTTGTAGCTGAGCGTTCTTATGCAGATGTCAAATCTGCATAAGTGATCCCCAGAGTCCCTCAAGCAATTTGCCAGCCCTGGAAATGTTTGGATGAGGATGGTACACCTTTTTGTCCCCTGCTGTCTTGTCATTCTATTAAATTAGGGCTGTTTTCAAAATAGGCTTAGCTTCACTTTAGCTGTCATGACTTTCCCTTGTGTAATATTTTCATGCGTTCAGCAAATTATCTCTCATTTCCCTGTACTGCAATCCTGTTTATGATGTGAAATTACCAACTTTATAATTCAAATCTTACAATGCATGGCTGTTTATGTGTGTGCTGACTTCTCATTTTTGGTAACCCTGCTTTTCACTGAGAATAACTGAGAATAACACAGACAATATTGTACCAATTACTGAATTATTGTTTCTTGTTGTACTTGCACAGTGACAGGCCTCCACATTAGCATTTGATTTTTCAAATGATACACTTCCAGTTATTTTCCTGGCATTCCCAAAATGCTGCTTAATGCATGTGCATGTGCATGTGCACATGTCAAATACATGCTTTCAAAGACTAACCTCTTTATGGCATCCGTAGGCTGTTATGTGCTGGAGATGCTCTAGCGAACAACAGTGGAAAAAATTACACATATTCTACGCATAATTATGTAACAGCATTAGATCCAAGTAATGTCTATAATGCAGCAACATCTGTGTGCTCTGATCCCCCTTGCATGTCTTTCATCTATTTAAAACTGTTTAGTGCAAAAGTGAAAAAAGGAAAATCCATTGCTACTATCCTCAATATATGATGAGAAAACACGTGTTCATGTTTTGGCATGGAAAATGCTGTAGTATGGCAGAACATTTCTTATGCTCTATAAATATTCAAACAAAGACAACTAAGTTAACAATAACATATTCTTTTCGTTGGAGATTTATATAGAGAGAGATGTACAAAATATAAAGCTGTGGTGCTGCTAAACTGATTTAAGTAAAGGAAATAGATTCGCTGACAACAATTAGCATTCTCATTGTCTGTGTGGTTGTGATATTTTATTGGCTTTTCTTTATTGTCTTTTGATTGTCTGGTGCCTTGAGTCCTCTTTAATTTAAATGAAAGAGAAACTCTCTTTAATCAAACCAGGTTTGAATGTAGACTAAACATACCTGTTGTAGAGCTTCGGGACAAAAAAACGCTACCTTATCAGTGTTGCCCAGTGTAACTGATTTTATTGATGTATATTAACTTGTGGTACAGCAGTAATATGTTGCTCCTAAGCCTCTGGGATCACTGAAAACTCATTGCGTTCTTTCACTTTCTCATCTTACCTTGAAACCCCGAGGCTAACAATTTGATACTGTGTGTCTACATGAGGAATGTGCAGTGTGCTGCTTTTTTCTCCAGCTGCTTGCACAAATTGATTTTCCAGTCTTTACATGAAGGGCTCGCGCGGGAGATGTTAAAGGTAGCGGTCATGTAACTCGAAGAAGAAATAAGACAGTGCTCAAAGGTTAAGTGACCTTGTTAGCGGTGAAACAGCATCAGTCTAAGTTTTCCTTTTCTTCATCTCAGTGAGGAGAAACCATGAGCCAAAGAGGAGGACAGGATAAGAGCTTACTGCTGCAGAAATCAGCTCGGTTAACTGGAAAGTGAGCCGAGAAT